GTTGTTTACACCCATTTTTGCAAATTAATTAAAAGGATCCATGTGTCCCATTTGTTTTGAATTTGAAGGAGTCAAAATACGTTGCTAGAAACTGCCATGTGGTGATCTCATTAATTGAGTCAAGCTCAATGACTGATTTTTTCCCAAAATCAATATAAATTTTTGTTGCCACATCATTGCTGAAGCAGCTCAATGGTTGCATACTTCCAAGAGCATGATCAACAATACCAACATGTTAATTGATTTGTTGCAAATTTTACTTTGCCGTTAGTTTCCAAGATGCTGCCAACAAAACTCCTCCATGCTACCAAGGTGTTATAAATACTCAATGATGAGATCATGCAAAAAACTCTTACCTCTCACACCACAAGCTCAGCGTTATTTTTTTTAATGCTCAAGTTCATCTTAGTTTCAAGCCCTTTAATTTTAGTTCTATGCTTCAGCCTAACTTAATCTTTAGCCTAAATTAGTCTTCAACCTTAGTTTAATGTCTTTACCTTTAGAAATTTTAAAAATTAGTTACTGGTCTCTGAAGAAGCAATTTAGTTCCCCTTTTGTTGGTTTTGTAATGGTAAGATTCATTACCTTCAGTAATAGTTCTTTGTAATTGAATTCCTCCCTTTCCTTTATTTTCTTCCTAAGTTTTGTTAATTTAATCAAGTGCTGTCAATATTCAATCTCATATTCTGTTTTATTTTTGTTAATTTATATTTCATACTGCCAATAGAAGTGTCCATATTTCTAGCTTCATTTACTTAATTTGTTTTTTTTTTTTCTCTATATTTAGATTTTCTTTTGAATGTTTTATTTTAATGTAGTCTACATATTTAAAATTCATTAGAGTTTTTAGTAGCTTAGCAGTCATTTGCTTTTCTTGCAATCTTATTTTTCTTGATTACATTAGTTTGGAAGATTCCTTGAAAACATATCCAAGGTAGTTTGTTGTTTAACCCGTTTAGTGCAAAAAGTTTACCCCTCGTTTCTATCAATTGTTTGATCATTAAGGCACGGTTTATAATGTTCTTCCATCAACTCATGAGTGAGTTATACACTTGAAAAGAGAGGGTTAGAAAATTCTTGTTTTGAGCAAAGCAAGTGGCATGCTATTCACTTGTTACGTGTCAAGGAGATTTTTTAGGATAACACTAGTATTAGCCTTTCCTTTATGTTTTTGTGAAATATTAACATCTTTTTTCTTTTTTTTTTCTTTTTTGTATAATAGTAATAGTGGTCACCCTATATCAATGATCATGGTTTTATAATTCTTTGTAACTCAATTGCAAAACTGATTTTTCATGTAAAAATAACAAACTAGAGTCCCTCCTTCATATCTCTCTTATCACTCAATCATGGTCCTTTGTCTTGCTTCAATTTTCATATTATATTTACCATTTTGACCTCAAAAGGCATTGCAATAATGTGTTTGCTATTATGGCTTTGTTTTGGTAGCATTGTGGTTTTTTTAACCATAAATCCTAGGTCCCTAACACCTATCTTTTTGTGTGTATCAATATTTAACTTTTTGACTTCTCTTGTGTATTTGGGATTGGTTAGAAGGTAAAATGGTTATTTATGTATTTGAATGTGTCTCACCCAAAATTAATACTTTCAACTAAGTGGTTGTTATGGTCTAGTTTTAGATGTTGAGTCCGCCATAAAACATAACTAAACCAATAAAAAGAGTTGTTATAATGAGCAATCAAATTAAAAGATGATATCCAAAATTAAGAATAAGAATATTTGAATAAAAATGGTCATAAAATAATAAAAAACAATATTATGATAAATAAGGTTTCAAGATTCACCTAATTAATTTATTTAACTATTTTCAATTTTAATTCTTATTTACTACTTAATTGTGTATTTCACATCTCAAAAAATAATAAATAAAAAGATATAATTTTGAAAAGTTATGATCCACCCAGATACTAGTCTTACCACACTTATATAAAATTTTGATAATTTATCTCTCTATTTTCATTGATTGAAATTTATTCATTTTTTATTATATTTATTAAAGGCAATTTTTTTTTATCTAAAAAATTATGAATAAATTTCAACTAATGAAAGTGAAGAGATGAATGATGAAGATTTTGTATAAATATGGTACGTAAAACTTGTATATAAATGAGTCCCTATTCAACTTTAAAAAACAATGATAATTGCAAAAGTATTTAGTGTAAAAGAAAATTAATTTTGATGAAAAATACAATGATATATTCTTACGAGCTATTTGAGAGTGACAATTATCTAATAACAATATTGGAATAAAAGATCAATTCATAAAACTAATTTACTTAATCTAGTGTTTTGAAAATTGACCTAGAGGTCAAAACATTTTAACCTTTGGTTTTTAATTTGACTAGTTTAAC